GTTTCCATTTAAGGTTGGTGTGGTCATACAAATGAAAATAGGACTCACACAGACGTACACGCCCACACAGATGTAAGAGGAGGATGATTTTTGAGTAATGTGTTCAGCGAAGGTGCCACAGCCACATTTACCACAACTGCTGTTTTGAAGTTTGCCCCTTGTGCGAGTGCCTCAGTTTGACATACTGTTTCGCAGTATTCGAGATGCTGTTTGTCCACTGAGCCCTATAACAATTATTATAAACCAGGAGAAAGGACAGATCTTCTGAATGTCTGCACTGAATCAACTGTAATCTGTATTAATGGGTATCATTAGAATGTGTCAACAGGAGGCTGAAGTTAGGTACCGGATGCTTCTTGCTTCCTGTAGTGCATTTGTAGTAAACGTTTTGCTGATCAGTAATGTCTGAATGACTCTAAACGGTCTTTGTGGACAGCAAGAGAAACATATTGATGACATACACAGACTCTTTATTTACCCTGAAGGAAATTTACATCCATTATCCAGATATCCACCAGCTACAGTGGCAGCCACTAGAGATTTTAATGCTCCAATAATGCTCTGTGGCATGTTGTCACACTGCTGAAGTCTAAGTTGGGGGTAATCCTCATTTTTATACTCAGGAATTGTCCCTCATGTCTGGTTGATCTTTATTTCACTGTTAGAAACGTAAGGTTGGTTTATCAGGTGTTTCTCTCAGATGGAGCTGAAGAGCTGAAGATGGAGCTCTGCTTGGCCCTTGTGTGATCAATGATCTCTCACTTAAAGAAATGGACACAGTAAAACTGTAATACATGAAGTGACTCCTCCTGTTTCTTGGGAATTCAAGTTTCTGTTGATCTGTGTTTTGCTATCGTTTTACATTGACAACACCCTTCTGAGTGTCTCTTCTACACAGTCATCACATTGTATTATTGGTCACATGGGTTGGGTAGTGACTTGTTGCACAGTCGGCTTTTCAGGTGACATTCTCTGCAGAATAGCTGAAATGCTTTATGGGAAAATGCCACTCCAGTTCGTCATCATTATAAGTCGTTCTCCGAAAATGTCTGACAGAATTATTTTAACACCTAAACAAAGTGGCACCTTATTAGTATGGCAGGCCCATGACACACAAGGCAGACTCGCAGTCGGTCAGACGACAAGTTATTGAGGCAGTAAAATCAGCAGCCAAAAAAAAAAATGGTTTCAGAGAAAGTATCTGTAACTGAGCTCCAAGAGGGCGATTAAAGGAGCAGTGTCATACTGGTCCCAGGGCTTGTTGCAGACTTTTGTTAAATTTGATTGCAAATAATTTATATTATGTTTGTCCATTGTGTTATGTTGTAATGCAAAAATGACATTCTCATTATAAAGTAGTGAATGGTCAAGACTAAACATTATTTCAATGTTGTATTTGTTGGAGGTTTATGTCTACATGCTCTCAGAATATGTTTAAATTATGAAAAGTCCTGCGTTGAACCTAATTTCATGTTTAAGAAACTGTGTCCGACATAATTCTTTGGATGCTGCAAACTGAGTGTGCAGCTTTTAGCCTCACAGACCACTCAAAGTGCTTTACAAACTATTTAGCAAGCTAGCTATCAGTTAGCTTAGCACAAACACTGGAAATATTTGGACTCATGGTTTGCTTCGTTTTTACTGTTGAGTTCACTGACACTGAAGCGTGTGCACTCTTGCTGTTAGAAGTTTACTTGTAGCCCATTTGACAATCATTAGCTGTAAATTGTGACTTTTAAGCCTGTGAAACCATTAACGAGTGTTTCTTTGTGGAGCTGGCATGCTTTCCTGTGCCTGTGGGGGTTTCCTCTGGGCGCTGGGCCTTCTTCCTGCACACCAAACACACGCTAGGTTTTTGATTCTAAATTGACCGTGGATGTGGAGTAGACAAAGTGCTTGGAAGTATACAAAATACAGCTCTTTATGAAGGACTGGTCAAATGTGGTCGAAGACTAAAGCACTTTGAGAGGTTGGTGCAACTGGGGGAAAATGGATGTTTTTAAACACAAGAACATCTTTTTACCTAGCACCTCATCAGGTCATTGTGCTGTGAAAATTGGATTACAAGCTTGAAACATAATCATAATCATAATATAATCACGTTTACTTATTATTCTTGTTAAATTTCAGTGCACTAAATATGTACAAATATACCAAAATGAGCATTAAATATGGCAGCTTTAAAGGAGTGTAGATAATCAGGAGTCTTTAACTACCAAACAACAGCTGTTAAAAAAGAAAACAGACACTGAGGCAAAATGAAGTGTGAGCAAGTGTTGCTGCTTGTTTGTACCTTTGTGGACCTGGTTAGTCCTGTTGATAAGGAGTGGTGTCTCTCACTCATCTTTCTCTTGTGCTTTCTAGTCAGGTTTCGGCTGCTTAAAGGCCTAGTGTGAAGTTAAGGTGTGTGGGTGTGTGGGGGTGTGTGTCTGTGTGCGGATTTGTTGCAAGGGGGCTCCAAAAGAGGCGGTCCTGATGCTGCCTAACCTGTTTGCCTGCATTATAGGTATTCAACTGGCAGCTTCATCTCGTCCTGCCCACAGAGCAGCAGTGACACACTGAAGAGGAGACATCTGGCCCCTGGCTTTGCTAAGGAGACGCTGTCTTTGGCACGGTGAGTCCATCAAATCTCAGTTTGGTTGTTATGGCACAATCTATGATTGGAATAAACTGGAGGAGATTTGATTTAAAAACATACCTTAATGTTTATTCATTTCATAATCTAAAAATTGCATTTCAGTAAAATGTACATTGTAGTTGGTATAGGTTCATCTCTGTACTTAACATCAGTTACATTTATGTTCTGGAGAGTGAAAAGTTTTCATTCGAGTACACAGACTGACCCCAGTCCTCACACAGACTTGGGTGGAAAGTCTGAATGAATACTGAAGCCATTTAAGGATGAGGCGTTTGCTCATGTTTTGCCTCTGGTGTCATTGATCTTTTTAAACGTATTAAATTGTTGTACTTGTATGTCAGCACCAAACTGCAGAGTTTGTCTGGCGTAAAGATTTTAAAACAGGTTGACCCCGACTGTGGGCACGCCACACTCTGCTGTCACTGGACTCACACCCTGTTTGATTGAAGTTGTTTCTCAAAACGTTGCCACCCTGGATACACCTATTAACGGCAATGCAACTTGTTTTTTTAAGACGTGTCTTGTGACTTGACTGCCTTTCCTGTTTGTTGCTCATCTCTGGTTTGGGGAACCATCAGGTAGAGCCTAAAACCACTGCCCAGTTTCCTTGCAAGTCAAGAATGCCTGAAACAGCATCATTGAGCATATGACTACAGTTTTCTGAGCTCTCACTGAAGAATTAGATTTATCTACTGTCGTCTGGTTATTAACTGGTTAGTAGTTGTTTTTCTATATTTAAAGAGAGAGAACTCCTGGGATGGACTGTGTTATCACCAGTGGGTGTTGGCCAATAATAATCAATTAGCAGTTAGTTTTGTAAGTAGTTTTTTTCAGAAGTCCTGCTTGTATTTCAGTTTGAGTGACTGTTTTTACACCATCTGATTTCTTTTTTGAGTTGAATTTAAAAGCAGGGTGTTGACGATCGTCTGACTCTTAGCTCTGCTGGACAGCATAAACCTGATGAAGCAGACGCTCTT